CCTCCTTGTCTTCCTCCTCTGCTTCCACCATATTCGGAGACAGCGGTCCGGCGTCTCCTCTGGGAGACAGGCCTTCTGTCTCTGTGCATGCACATGCCTAGCAGTAGTTTTTCCCCTCTGTCACTGGGGCCCCACCTATGTGATGGACTATGATGTCCCTCATCCTTAAGCTGCAGGTCAGAGGAAACACCCACTTGGGTCTGACCAGGGTTTTCTTAAAAGGCTCTCTTCTCTAAGTGTGGAAGTTTAGAGGAGTAATCTACAAGAGGACCTGTCAATCAGGATATGGCCCTCCTTCACCCTTCGGTTCCTTTTGTCTCCGGAACATTCCAGAAAGGCGATGGAAGTTTTGCCTCCCTCCTTTCCCTCTGATACCCACCTCCACTGAACCGTATAGGACACTCCAGAAGGGTAGCTGTCATCTGGAAGCCAGCTCAAGAACAGACTGAAATCCTTCGACAGAAGCGTAAGGTCACGAGGAGGCGGCAGCAGTACTTGGGCTGTCAGAAATAACGATGGTCAGAATGGAAGCTGCTTTACCAGACTAGCCATGCGATCAATTCTTATTGCAAGGTTGACCACAAACGAATGAAGTCCCCACAGGAAACATCACCAGCCACCCAGCCTTTGATGGATTCATATAAAGCCAGTGTGGTGTGGTGGACAGTCTAGGATTCAGGAGACCTGGGTTTGAATCCCTGCTTAGCCATGGAAACATGCAGAGTGGAATGGGGAACTGGTAAAACTTCTCATTATAAACCTAACTTACCTTGAAAGAGTTGCAGAAAGCTTGTCCCAACTTGAGGGTACACAACAAGAACATAAGGCATGATTGGTTAGGAAGTTCTTTTCAGACGGTCCCACAGGAATAAAACTTTCCCAGGGGACTATACTTTGTGTACGATTGATTTAAGGCATTGCAGAAAGAAGGAAATATACAAAATAAATGTACACTTCTAGGCTCCTTCTTCCCTGAGGGAGTTGATCTATGTGTGAGACTCTATCACCTCAGACAGTGTAGGCAAGAGGCAAATACATATGACTGTCTGCTCCTTTATACAGAATGATTTCTGCTCCACAAAAAATTAACATGTAAAGGAGAAGGCTAGGGTAAAATTCTTTTCTACCTTTTTTTTCTTTTTGGTACGGAGGGAATTCTTTGTATAGAAGAGAATTAAACTGTGTGACAGTAACCAGGATTCTAAAGAGACAAGACCCAGAACAGGGGCATAAATCCTTGCTAGTCTCATTCCCACACAGAAGGACTGAGTGACCACCATTTTCGCCTTCTTGCCAAGGGGACAGTGTTGGTTGGTGTTGGCAGGCTTTTGCATTTGCAAGAATGCATTTTGTGCAAATTGCGTTCTTAAACTATAATAACTGCTGCTTTTGTTCATGAATTTTTTTAAAAAAATTAGAAGCACTGAATGGTTTGCTTGTATCTTTGTTCTATGCAGAAGACATTTTGCACAAACTGCAGAAGCCTCAAAGGAGCTCTTGTTGGGGTTTAATAAACCCCCAATAGAGTGTCTTGTCAAGAATATAAGACAAAAGAACAAAATGGGGGGGAACCACCTCAAAACACCTTAAAGACTAACTGGTATATATTAATGTGGTCCAGCAAGAGGAATCAGCAGCGTTTTCTCCTGGCTGCCTTTTTGTTTCTGTTTTAATTTAATCTCTTTTTATAGTTTCTTTTTAAAAAATATAGTCTAAAGTTTTTTAATCTAGCTCTTTTGAAAGAAAAGGGAGAGCTACAGATAAGAGAAGCTAGGTATTTTATTCAGTGCATATTTTTAGTTTGGCTCCTAGCAGTGGCTTCATGGATCCTATCCATGCCTCTGAAGATAAGGAAATAAATAAGGAAAGGAACATAAATACATCTGACCTTGAAGGAAATAAAAGTGATTAGGAGACTTGTGGGCACAGCAAAAAGGAGCTACTGTTTCTCAAGTAACAAAAAGAAGTGGTCAAATAAAGAGGTTTCACCAGATAAGTTGAAAAGTTAGACTGAGGCTCTGATCTCTATGGGTCATCATTATTGTTGTTTCTTGTTGTTTACCACTTTAAACACCTAAATGAAGTAGCTAAAATAACAGCCCCTCAATGATATATGAAGCAGACTTTTAGCAAGTTTGAGACTCCGTTGGATGATGCAGGAGCTGTTGGCAGATGAGTAAGCAGGACTGCAAAGTTTATAGCAGCCGTTCGGATTCTTTCCTATCAGAGGGAGCCAACTTTCAAAGATATTAATATGAGTTTTTGTGGATCAACTCCATTTTCTGACACCTAACAGTGATATCATATGGCTATCATGTTTTATACAAGCCCCCCTGACCAGGTGGGGACACAGATAATGGCCGAAGTAGCAATGGTTCGCTAGGAAAGGAATAGAAAATCAAGCATCTCAGAAGCCGTGTGAATGTTGGTTAGTGGTTAATGCAACTGTCGGTGTATTCCAGATGAATGCTACACAAAGAGGAAACTTCCCTAGAATGGTTACATAAAAATATTTTGCTAAAATCATATATAGGTGCAAAAACCTGTAAAGGGGAAGCACCTAAACCACTTGGCAGGAAACAGCAGCTTAGATAAGCGGGGGGCAGAGGAGGAAGTGAGTTCTATACAAACCTTTCATATCAAATCTTTCTTTATTTGCATCAGAATGTTTCACCATCTAAAATTATGGATATATATGAAATATAAGGTAAAATTAAAAACAAATTAAAGTGTTAAAATAATTAGGCTACTCTACTCTAAAGTAGAGGTGGTGACGCTGCTGGTGAAACTGCAGAAGCCTCTGTGCTGCAAGGTCAGAAGACCAAGTAGTCGTAAGATCGAATCCACGCAACAGAATGAGCCCCCGTCGCTTGTCCCAGTTCCCGCCAACCTAGCAGTTCGAAAGCATGCAAAATGCAAAAAATGTGAGTAGATAAATAGGTACCACCTTGGTGGGAAGGTAAATGGCATTCTGTGTCTAGTCACGTTGGCCACATGACCACGGATGATTGTCTGCAGGCAATCACTGGCTCTATAGCCACCACAGAGGACTGTCTGCGGACAAACACTGGCTCTATAGCTTGAAAATGAGGATGAGCACTGCCCCTAGAGTCGGACACGACTGGACAAAATTGTCAAGGGGAATCTTTACCTTTGCTCTAAAGATTGAAATAAGTACATAAGAATATGCTTTTAGGTTACCTTTGCTCTAAAGATTGAAATAAGTAAGAGTATGCTTTTAGGGAGCTGGCTGGATAGCTCAGTGAGTTAGGTACCCTGTTCCCCTGAAAATAAGACCTAACCTGAAAATAAGCCCTAGTATGATTTTTCAGGATGCTCATCATATAAGCCCTACCCCCAAAATAAGCCCTAGTTAAGTGAAACTCTGCCCTCCACCATTGTGCAGCAACCAGAAGATGACATGATTATATTTTAATTTAGATGGTTGTACATGAAAAAAAATCCCCTGAAAATAAGCTCTAATGTGTTTTTTTGGAGCAAAAATTAATATAAGACCCTGTCTAATTTCCGGGCAACACGGTATCTGGCTGTGGAGCCAGAGGCTGGGGGTTCGATTCCTCACTGGGTCCCAGGGAGAAGAGCCAGCCTGGGTGGCCTTGGGCAAGCTGTACAATCTCAGGAAATCCATTGAAGAAGAATGGGAAGCCTCTTCTGTGTATTCTCTGCCTGAAAAACCCTGAAAAAGGTGGCCATAAATCAGAATTAATTTGATGGTCCACAGTTACTCTTATTATGCCATTAGGGCAGGGGGTGGCTCTCCAGATGTTTTTGATCTGCAGTTCCCATCAGTCTTAGCTGGCATAGGCAATACTGAAGGATGATGGGAGTGACTGTAAAAAAAAAAAGTCTGGAGGATCACAGTTGTTCACCTTCTACTTTAGGATCAAACACTTTACATTAACATCTGTAACAGCAAACTCTTGAAGTCTTCCTTTATTTCAAAAGCCATTTCAGGTAACCTATCTTAAATCGCTCCACCCAATCTATACAAAATATATCAACATAAGCTTTCCTTCCTATGGTAAATATCTGGGGTGAGGTGGGGATTTAAGGTCGTAAAGGATCATGGAGGCGCTCTGCTCCATGCCTTCTGGGCTTTAACCACAGCCCAAAATGGAGACAACAATATTTTGAAAACCCCAATTGAAATCTGGCAGAATTCCTGTAGTGGCAACCTGGCAGGAGTCATTGGGCCCACAAAGAATAAAACCATTTTAGAGTGATGTAAAATGTTGGTGGTAATTTTTTTTTTAAAAAAACTTTCTTGTCACTGGGTGAGATTCTGGGAGATTCAGACTCCCCCCCCTGCAAAATAGTAGATTTTTTATGCATAAAAACACTTTATTTTGCATACAACCCAGTGCCTTAAATGCAAACTGCTAAATGCAAACTGATTGTACCCGAGATATGTAACATTTTTGATATATTTAACCAGGGGTCCCATTAGGCAGAGCGAGGTTTCTGACAACTCACTTTCGGAGCTGTGCACAGTTCTTCATATTTCTAATGACGATGTCCTTTTTTAATTTATTTATATTTTTAAAAATCAATTTAAAACACTGATGTTTCGGCAGGCCTTAAAAATCAGTTAAAAACACTGATGTTTCGGCAGGCCTTCCCCTCAGCCAATTCCTGATCTTCCCTCTTTTTTCCTCTCTCCTAGTGTTTGTCCCATCTTGTCCAAAGTTTCTCCCCTTATTTAAAATTGTTTTAATTATATTGTATTACGCTTGTTGTAAGCCGCCTAGAGTGGTCTTAAGTGACTAGATAGGCGGGATATAAATAAAATAAATAAATAAATAAATAAAATAAATTTTATCCTGGTCAACCTGTGGCACAGCCACCGATATGCTGGCCGGCCAACCAATCACCGAGGAGACCACAGACCCAACAAAGAACTCATATAAACCACAAACAAGCCACATAATGTCCACGAATAAAGAAATAATTACTGTAAAATACTTTATAAACATCGAGTATGATACTATTAGGCGGCAAAAACAGGGCACGTTCATAAGCGGGGGAAGGAAAAAAAAACCCATACGTTCAAGAGAGAGATTATTCCTGCAAAGAGGAATACCAAAATCAATCAATCAATCAAACAAACACACAATGGTTTAACCAGCCTTGGGAAGTGATGTGCCTTGAACGGGGCAGAGGTTTTACAGATGTGGCTCAACTAGGCAGCTACCTGAAGGCCAGGACCGGATTCTCACCTCCAGGGAGCTTGTGCGAAACAGAAACGATTCTCGCCCGTCCACACATTCCCTTTCGCCGTGACTCTTCGGAGACGCGCTACTTTCCAATTTTAGGGCCAAAGCATTTTGTGGGACGGATCCTCCGTTGTTCTTTCTTTCTTTCTTTTTTTCTTGCCCATAAATCTCAATT